GAGTAGCACTAGCTTGAACGGTGCATTGCTTGTACTTTGATGTGTTTGAATCTTTTATGGTACTGAAGAATTGCTTACGGATGAAAAATATTAAAAATCGTCCGTGCATATATGTAAATATACTTTTATAAACGCTTTGAAGTATAGAAATTTTTAATATTAAAAAATAAATAAAATAATTTGTTTGTATATATGTAAATGGTGTTCAAGGCATATTGACCCACCTGTACAAAAATTGTGGCGCGGCATGGACAAAAATTTTACAATTTCGGACCGAAAAATATGAAAACGAGCTAAGTTGCCACGTTACATCTGTGAACTTCCGATAAAACCACATATGTTTGTGATTTTAGAAGTTTTGATTTTATTAAAAAAAAATCAATGTATTTTCCTGCAGAAAACGTAGACTTTTATTTAATGTTTATTAAAATTACACCTTAAAATACTAGTTAATGGTTAAAATATTGGAAGGGAACAGAGAAATAGTGTTTTGTCAAAAATTACCAAAAATTACCAAAATTCGAGATAACTTATTTTACTGGATATAGAGAAATAATTGCCACTTTTCACTTGGCTGGCCGAGATTTCTTCAATTTTACATTTTAGAATTTTTGTGTCGGATTGACAAAGTTGCGCTTGAAGGTGATGAATTTGCGGGGAGATGTGCTGCTGTAGTATTTAAGAATGGAATATCTTGACCTTGAGAAATATGCGAATGCGTTTATGATTGAAATAGTTATTGTTGTATTTGAGTATACGTGTAATTATGTGCATATGTATGTATGCTGCCGTGATTTGTACATATGTACATTTATATGCATGTTCGTAGTTTTTTTGGCAGTAATATGCACATACATATATATGCATGTAAAAACGTTATCAAGTAATGGAGCATGTATGTACATACATATATATGCGTGGGAAATGCATTTTCATTTGAATCCAAACCTATTGGGGCATATTCGTAGTTGAAATAAAGATTGCAGCTTTTCACAGATATTCCATTGAAAATAATGTAAAAAAGCTATAACTAATTTTAATGTCGACTTTATTTTAACTATGAATATGCCCCAGTTATTTATGTACATATATAAATACGAGCATTGCAGTGAAAAATGATCATGCAACACATTTTTTGTCAAAATAAATGTTCATAAAACTCACAAATAACTTTTCGAGAAAAACAACTTTGAAGTTAGTTAACAAGCGCATTGCATTTGTACACTTTTTAGTCAATGTGCCCATATTTAAAATGAATTTGTGAAAAAACTAAGGCAGCTAGAAAGCTGTGGTTTGTTGCATTGAAAATAGTGTAGCATCTACCATGCGAATCGGTAAAAAAGTAAACTCGATTTTTTTTACCCAAAGCGCCTCTGAAATGCCGACGGCAAATCTGAATCGATCACAATCACCATTTTACGAAATGAGGATTGGGCCCCAACGTACAATTCATAATGTTTTAAATAAGTAGAGCAATTACTGAAAAAAAAACACATTCAATGCATATCCAATAATTTATTTATTTTAATTGTAATTACAAGTTTTTGTTTTCATATGCTTGCTGGTTTGGTTAACAGATGATAAACATTCAGTTTGCAGGTTTGCAGACTTTGCAGCACAGTAACATGAAATTTAGCATTTCTCTGTTACGACCCATGGTTGAAACGTTTCAGAAAATAATGAAGAAGAGCAGATTTACGATTTGCATCTTCTCATAACTATACGTTCTCTGTCCTCGGGGACAAATGGTGAAAAACTGCGAAAAGGTTTATTACTGTATATACTGTGACTTGTAGCTTGCTGACTTGTAACTAACTCTAATTCCACTGTGCCGTGGCTCTTATATACCTGCGCTCGCACTCATGGCAACTCTCCAACGTTCTGAAGTTCATCGCTCATTGGTCGCGTTCATAAGATGTAGCTGTTTAGCTCATCTGCTACGAAACTGCAGGCAACTGTTGAACCCAACAATTACGTCTTAGAAACGGCTTGATGAATATGCTGCCAAATGAACAGCTGATAAATGTAAACAAAGGAAATTGCAACAAATAAAGATAGTTGCACCGATACTATTTAGAATTCAACGCTGAGCGGCCGCCGTGTTGAAAAAATCGTTCAATGTTACAATGAATTAAACAGAAACCATATATTTAGAAACGTAGTATTATTATAAAATATTTTAGTTACTTTATCACGTCAGTTATATAAAACATAATAAATTTGTTTGCAACTGCCACCTAACAAAGCGGCGTTAAATTTAATATAAGCGGCGTAAGTCTTTTCGATCAGCTGTTTAGGTTAAGCCCAACACGTTGAGTTCAGGTAGCGTAAAATTTTTCCGCTGGAAAAAATGGCGGAAAGTTGCCAACTGTTGGGCTGAGCGTAATTACTCAACTGTGCGTTTTTGTGCCAACGGTTACCCAACAGCTACGACTTATGAGCGCGCCCATTCTCTTTCTCTCGCTGTTCGCAGTGTTTATCCAACTTGACGTTTCTCTTTGTGGAACATTCTACGTCATTCCTCGAACATTCTGCCTATTTCTCGTTGTTCGCAGTTTTTAAAATGTAATGAAAACGCATTTAACACCAAATGAACAGCTGTCAGATGAAGACAGCTTTTGATGTCAGTGATTTGGACCTAATGAAAACCAGCCTTTAAATACTATTAGCAGAAACATAGTTAAAGTGATAAATTCAGGTAAAGAAGACCTCCATTAATATATTAATATCCTACCGAGTTTTATAAAAAAAATTCCGTATACTTTGAATGATATAGCTAGTGGTTCCATAAAGGAAATCTCAGTCGAGTTGTCAATCACACCTTGTTTAATACACCTTGATTGGAAGCGATTAGTTGAAAGGCCGTTCACACCAGCAGATTTTTGCTTTCAACTAAAAGTTGCCTGTAAAATCGCCCATGCGAACACCGTATAGTACAAGTGTTGCTTTTCAACCGGAAAGGGTACTCTCTTGTAGTGTTGCCAGAGAATTATTTCGTTTGTACTAAAACGGTCTAAAAAAATAGCTAAAAAGAGCTAAATGTTACTTGGGGTCTTCCCAACGGTATCGTAACTGTCGTATTGTTGTATGACGTTAACTTTAAACACCTAAAAATATATTACGCGGGTTCACAAAGTACCATCAAAGTCATATTATGAATTTTCGCAGTGTTAAAAAGTAGTTGGTTGTGGTTTCAGGTTATCTAGACATTTATTTTTGCGCACTTTTGCTACAATTATGACGAGTTGTCCCTTCTTGTTATCTACGTTCTTTGCCCCTTCTCCCTCTCTCACAAAGATTTGAAGTGAATCCAACAACAATAATAAAACCAGCAGGCAAAAATTTAAATTAAGGCAAATGTTACAGTTTTGCACTCACTCTCAGTTTTGCATTTTACAGTTATTTTTTCATTAGTTGGAAGTCAGATGACTTTTTTCTGTATTGTAATTTATTCAAGAAGTGATTACCAGTAAATAATATGGTTAATCAGGAAACATAAATGTAAGTAATATATTTACTGCGGAAACGCGGGACCGTAGGAATAGTGAAAATGTTAAGACTGAGAAAAAATATAGCCTAAAATGTTATTAAAGACAAAGGAAGTCTGCCAAAAAATATTACGGTCCGATATCTTGTGAAATTAGTAGCAAGTTGCGCTGCAGCCACTATTACAGAAGCGCTTAAGGTATTAAAATTGAATGAAAATCAGTAGACAGCGAGGCGAAGAATAGTCAAATTGAACGCAAAGGCATAATAAAAGAAGAAAAATTCATTTTGATCAAAATACATCAGCGAGAGTGGTAGCATTTTGCCGGATTGCACGAAAACCGGACCGTTGCCTATAGCAAAAATTTGCTATTTTGAAATGACCTCCACAATCCGCGATATGAATCTCGTCGAAAATTTGCGAAATCAACTAAAAGCGCAGCTTAAAGTATCCAAGTCCGTCCATGACATGACCATGACATGAGTACATGACCTATGAAAGCAAACCAAGGATATATGGAAGGCTATACCTCCAGAATTTTTACAGTGATACAAATAAGGTATGCCAAATTGCATCCAGGAACTAAAAAAAAAAACAAAAGTATACTGAACATTGTGTAAACAATTCTTTTTTTTTCGTCAAATTGTCAAAAAGTTATTAACAACATAGGGAAATGTTTAGCTATTTGTACAACGATTTAGGGGTGGGGGCGGAGGGGGAGGGCTGTGGGCCCCACAAATCCCCCCTAAACGAAAGAGGATTGACGCCGCTTTATGAAAAGTCCCCCCCCCCCCCCTTTCCAACCCCTCCCACAGACCTCTGGGGAGCTGTTTGAAAATAGGGGAATTTTAGATTTTTTGCAAGGAAAAAACAAAGTAAAACTTGCGTCCGAAGAAGGGGGGCTGAACACCTTTTGGCTGCCGCCCCAGTGATGTCTATTTTGGTTACTGAGTATTTTATAAAAATATCTTGAAAATAAAAATGTATATACAAATTTATAATAAAAATTTGCAACAAATACCATATTTGTAACCGACATTATTGTTAAATTAGTAATTAAATTTTTGTAGTAAAGCGTGAACTGTTGTCTACAAGTGTGTGTAAAAGTTTTTTGATTCGATTCACGCGTTTGAGTACAGCAACCCAAAATCGTTGTACAAATTCATAAACAGTACCCAAAATATATAAGTGCAAAACTCTAACATTTGCCTTAATTTATATGTTTTATTATTGTTGTTGGATTGACTTCAATTCGTTATGAGAGAGGAAGTACAGGTGTACCAATAAGAATATACAACAAAAGTATGAATGTCGTCAGAACTTGGAAAGATAGCGGCGAATGATATAAAAAGCATTGCACCATGTTACAGATTTGCTCGTCACTGTAAATAGAAAAATAAAGAGCTAAATCTAGCTCCAAAAGTAGCAAAATGGCAACACTGCATTCTTGTTTAAATTGTGGTACAATTTATTTTATGTGGCAACCGTGACTCCTATTTTGTTCCATTTTCCATTCCAGCTCATTTCATTTTGAGTTGCTCCCTAAGCTGTTCAGTTTATTAATTTGTTTACGTTTTTAATACCAGAACTTCGGAGTATAAGTAATTTCGCTTTTAGTTAGTAAGCGGATTGAAAATAAAAGGTTAAGTAAGATTACAAATGTTAATTTTTTTTCTTCAAACCAATTGCAATTTCCTCTTCACATACATATGTTTCAATATCAGGTTGTTACAAGTGCCACACCTAGGTTGATACAGCAATTGTCTAATGCTTTTAAATTAGTTGTTTAAAATTTAAATAGGGAAAATGGTTGTTTTGGAGTCGTGCTGGTCGCCAATCATTTGGTCCAACTCTGTAAAGACTGGAAGTTATGCTGTTGCAGTATACACCGCGGCTTTATCGGTGGTACTAATCACATTGGTAAGCAAAGACAAATAATTTTACACAAAAAGAACTTGTTTTAATTCGAAAATTTCCCAGATTTCTTACATGCTGACCGGAGGAGAATCAGCTCAACTTTATTCTCCACTTTTTGAAAGCGATATAAGATATTCAATGCCTGTTTATGGCAGTATATTTATATTCTACTTTCTACTATTAATTGCCGCATCGTACATGGTGTATTATGGTATAAGGATAAGGTAGAAGTCCTAGAAATTCTAGTGGTGTGCTATATATGATTTGTGTTTTATTTGGATCTTTAGCACCAGAGGTTGGCTCTTACCTTGGCTCATTTTAGCAGGTATTGGAATTTTATTTCAATTTGTATGGGGGCTGTGGCTCATTGGTGGCTACTATATTTACGTAAGTATTTTAAACTTTTAATACATACATTTATAAGTTCTTAATATTATACACATATCATTATTATACTGTCTTTAGCTCGAACAAACGTTCTCCGCTCTATTGAACTTCTGTTGGACGGCATACAATGTAAATATATACCCAAGATACTAATTAAAAGAAACTTTAAATATTAGTCCCACTACAGGTTTACTGCTGGTTGTGCGTATTCTCGCAGTACCAAATATTTTTGGAAATGCAAAATCCTAATATTGTTCTCTTGGAGCCGTTTTGAGTAACAGTACAATCCAGACCCAGGTTCGGCGCTGGTTTCCAGTTCAAGTGTCAGCCGCATTTGACATTAACTATTTAAGTTCGCACAAAGATTTGGCCTTAAATCATGTGTAATTTTAAAGATCCACGAATGTTTTTTTTTTTTTTTAACGAAGAGGAGAATTGTATATGAAATTAAGGCTGAGTCCAAGTTGCAACAATGCAAAGCTTCAGCCTCATTTATTTCTAAACTATAATGGATGGAAATGCCCTATTTGCTCAACTAAGTTCCAATTCGGCATTAAGGGCCAGTTTTCCGGGCACGGTTGTGGTTTAAACTTAGTTTAAATGCTCGATATGGTTCGTTTAAACTAAGATTAGCCAAACAAATACCAGCCAGCTTTTCAATATAAACACAGTTTTGTAATCTAAGTTTAAACTGGTCCTTAAACGTAGTTGCGCTTATTGGACATCTCCATCAGTTGTTGATTAGATATAAAAGAGGCTGATACTTTGCATTGATGCACTTGGAACTCAGCCATACAGTGCCGGCAAATGATTGGAATCAGTACACAAATATTCGTTCCCACGACAGTCGGGTATACGTAACCGAAACGACCCAAATTTATATCTGCCCAAGGACTGTCACTAGAGCATTACTCCCCAAAAACTATGGAGAGGGTTTGTATGCTGTTACAACAAGTACTCGGATATTTATATTTTCAAGTTAATCAGATTTGTTTGTTTATTTTTTATGAGTAATTTTTGGGGAAAAAAACCTTCAATTTTTAACCGACTTCCAAAAAAGGAGGAGGTTATCAGTTCGTCGGAATATTTTTTTTTTTTCATATAAAAATTTAAGGGAACCGTTTATTTCTTCATGGTCCAATGCAGGGTTGTTGCGAATATTATTCCGAAATAAAAGTCCTTTCCGGATAATAAACAAACTGCTTATCCAAATTAAACAAGTTTGGTATCAAATGAGAGAGGATTTAAATAGCTACCAAACTGAAATGTCTAAACGAGGAAAGCCACATATTGAAAAATATTTCAATAAAAATTGTTAACTAATTACCATGGAGCACACCTTTAATCAGGTATTAGTATTACATTATAAAAAAATAATAAAAAATTAGTATTACATTATAAAAAAATATAAATAGAGGCTGTTCGTTATTTCTGTTTAAAAGCTATTTCAACCCTCTTTCATATGATAACAAATTTCTTTAATTTGGACAGGCGGTTTGTTTATTACCCGGGAAGGATTTTTATTTCGGAATAATATTCGCAACAACCCTGGTCTAATGATCGAATCTAAACCAAGTTAATATGGGATGCCTTCTGAGGTACCACCTTTCCTTAAAACAAAGAATTATAGAGATCGGTTAACGCGGTCTAAAGTTAAGCGGTAAAATACATAAAAAAAAATCCAACGAATTGATAACTTTCTTTTTTGAAGTCGGTTAAAAATATAGTTCATTCAATAACCTAAATCATATACATACATACATGAAAGTTTCAAACAATGCGTAAAATTCGAAAAAATTCAACAAAAGTTAAAAATTATCAAAATTTAAATTTTTTACACATTAACAATTTTTAGACCTTTTTTAAGTATGCCCTTTTTTGATTTCAGTATAATAAAGTGACAGTTTGAAGTCATCAAAATTGTTTTTTTGCTGTTAAACTTGAAAATATAAACATATGTATGAGTACTGTTTCTAATCACTGTACTGTACATACGTACATACATAATATGTACAATGTACATTGTACATACAAAGCCATATTATGTCTAATTAAAAAAAGACTACGAACATTCCGTCCATTTACATTTGTAAGCAAAATGTTAATTTATTTAAGACTGTCTTATCTCGACACTCGAATTCTGAATCTTAACACAAATTTTTTTAATAATGTAATATATCAAGATATTTTGATACATCAAAACCAGTAAGCTAATCTACTTAAGAAACAATTTTTATATAGTTTTAATGGTTATGACAAAAGCTACGGTATTGTTTACAACTCGATCTTTCTGATTGATTTAATATAGCACAGTATGCAGCTCTCAAGAAAAGAAACATATTAAAATGCGCTCCAGAAATGAAATAAATTTTCTTCTATCAAAATTTTTTAAATCGGTTTGCAGCAAGGCATGTCAAAAAGGTAGTAGCATTAGAGCAAAAACAACATTTTCGTGTATATTGTAGTTGCTTCTGGTATCGAAAGTGTCAAAAACTGTTCTAATTTTTACAAGCTTTTATTTAACTTGGTCATCCCGCAGAAATTTCGAATCGATTTTAAACTAACTTCCCGACAAGGTAGAGACTTGAAAATTTCAGCGTACTTCCAATCACGATGACAATGCAATTTAAAATATAAATGAATTCCCTATATGGTTCAGGAGTCTTGATACAAAGGCGGTCAAAACATAGTAAAATGTATGGCTAACAGAGTGAATTTGCCAAAGAACGTAAAACCGGTATAAAATTGTTGCCAGCTGCCGGCGGTAGTAAATAAGAAGTATAGTTGCAGGCGCTAGTAAGGAAATCAACTTCAACAGTGTTTAAATTGCCATACTGTTAAGTTTTAAGCACTTCTGTTAAGAATTACATTATTTGGTTTCCTCACACAGGGAGTTATGGAAATACAGAGATACAATAAAAGCCACGCATAATTCATATGCAGACATCTTAAAAGTGTACTCTTACATAGGTACAGTGACGAGCAAAACTGTAACATGGTGTAACGCTTTTTATATCAGCCGCCGCTATCTTTCCAAGTTCTAAAGACATTCATATTTTTGTTGTATATTCTTATTGGTACACCTGTACTTCCTCTCTCATAACGCATTAAAGTCAATCCAACAACAAACTAAATCCAGCAGACAAAATGTAAATTAAGGCATATGTTAGAGTTTTGCACTTATATATTTTTAATAACTTTTTGACAATTTGACGAAAAAAACGAATTGTTAACACAATGTTCAGTATACATTTGTTTTTTCCTGGATGCAATTTGGAATACCTTAAGTGTATCTCTGTAAAAATTCTGGAGATAGATCCTTGGTTTGCTTTCACAGCTCATGTATCCATTGGCGGACTTGGATACTTGGAAAGCTGCGCTTTTAGTTGATATCGCAAATTTTCGACGAGATTCATATCCGCGGATTGTGGAGGTCTTTTCAAATTAGCAAATTTTTGCTTTTCCATCCAGTCTTTGCGAACATGTGCAGTGTATTTTGGGAGATTTTTCAGCAGAAACTAATTTTTCGACTACATCTTGCAAATTTTGTTGAAATATGAACAGATACTGTTCCTTACGCATAATGCGTACTAACGGACCAAAAACATTTTTGAAATACAGCCCCAAATTATTATTGACCGACCACTGTGATTAACAGTTTGCCTTGCATAGGGTTGCCAGACGTACTGCTTTTGGGAGTAAACGTACTCCTTTTTATTGTAATGAGTACATTGTACTCCCAACAAAAATATCTGGAAATGTACTCCTTTCTTAGTTTTGTGCTTCTTTTGTACTCCTTTTTCCAGCTATTAATATTTTATCATATACAGGGTGTAAAATAATAACTGTTGCACAGGTTTTATTGAAAAATAAAAGGGAATTTTATAGAGTTTGCGAAAAAAGTAGTTTATTGTAAATTATCCACAGATTTTACTTAAATTTTATTAATAAGTTTTTAAATTTTAACCTTTATTTGCGTTTACCAGCGGTAAACACTTTGAGAGAAAAGCTCAAGGGGCATGCAAGTCTTCGCCGGTTACTTTATTACATATCGTCACTAGACACGAATAAAGGCGCGAGCTCAAAAAATGACGGCGAAAAAAGACGCATAAAAAACTTCAGCGTCAAAGACTCTTAACATACTTCGCCGAAGATTTTCATAAGCATCTTTTTTCGCAAAATTTTTTTACGCGCCTTTTTTCGCCGTAAAAACATTAGCGCGCCTTTATTCGTGTGTAGTGACGATATCTTCTGTAACCATAGGCTAATTTCCTCCATTTGGCTCCTTTATACTCCGGCTTTTGTCCAACATAAGGCCTCATACTCAGCAATCGAAAAGACTCGGAACTGGTGACTAGGAGGCCATTCATTCGACCAATCCTATACCTATACAGTTTTATTTTTTTTTTTTACAAAATCTAAGAAAAAATACACCTGAAAAAAGCATGTACTTATCTCCAAAGCTGGCAAATGGAAATAAGGATTAAAGTTTTAAAACTAATTAATAAAAGTAAACTATTTATAAAGTTAGCAAAAAATACTTTTTTTCGCAAAATCTTTAAAGGACTCTTATTTTTCGAAAAACCTTTGCCACAGTTATTATTTTACGCCCTGTACTTTGCCATTCATATTGTGGCAAACACTACTTAGTAAGTAAAGTTAAGTGTGATAGTGAAAAGGTGTAAGCATAGCCTTAGGGGCAGGGAGCTCGGGTATAAAAATCAGAAAAATTCTAAATTATAAAAAAAAAATTGCCATACAATCAGGAATAGCCTGGAATTCTTTTGTCGAATTTAGTTATTTATTTTTAACATTTATTGTTGCTTTGAAAAAGATTTCTATGATATCCGTGTTTGTTTGTACCTAAATAATGGTAATTTGTAACAATCAATTGCACAAAAAAAATAAAACAATAATTGTACTCTTTTTTTAAGTTCTGTACTGCTTTTTTTCTATCTCCGTTTCAGAATCTGGCAACCCTAGCCTTGCATGATGCGCTTAGGCTTAATTTGGATCTTTGATCCAATATCATGCCCGGCCATCTGATTGAAAGCGATTAATTAAGTCTTGCCAGACCAACAAACCTTCAATTAAATCTTAAAAATGCGTTTTTTATTGCATTCTGTAAG